CAAGTTCTAAGGGCTGCTTCTCTCTCCTTGCCCATGCCATGTCTGGACAACAACTCAGAGTATCATCCTCAGGATGGGGAGGATGATTGAGTCTTCTCCTTGGGTTCAAAAGGCTAACTTCTTGAGCACAGTGAGCTGAAACCCTGCCACATAGCAGCTCATGTGAACATACAGGGACTCACACTGACTCTGGGCCAATTAGCATTGAGATGGGCTGTAAAATTAGTGAATTAATCTTTTAGTTTTTAAAACAAATGTCTAATTCTAAAACCAGTACATGCTTATTGTACAAAGTTAGGAAAAACAGAAAAATAGGAAGTAGGAAAGAAATTAGACATATTGTCACAATCTCAAAACAGGATGTGTTTCAGTCCAGACTTTTTACCATGCATACTTTTTGATTAGTTGTTCTCAAACATATGCTAGTTCTGTTTGCTACTCTTTTTTTTGCCAAAGATAATAGTATAGGCATGTCCTCATAAATTATTTATGGGGTCCTTATTAAAAATTCTTTATAAATGCAGCTCTTCGATTGTTATTTTTTTGGGGTACAACTTGCATACAGCAGAGTTTACTAATCCTAGGTGTAGAGCTTGGTGAAGTTTTGATACACATACATCCATACAACCACCATCCAGATCCAGAGGATAGGGAGTTAGCCCTATCACCCCAGACGGTGCCCTTGCACCCCACCCAGAGGAAAGGGCCACTCTGACTTCTATGCATGGATTAGATGTGCCTCTTCTTTAACTTCATATAAATGGAATCACAGATGCTATTCTCTTTCTGTCTGGCTTCTTCTGTGCAACAGAATGCCGTAACTATATGGCAGAACTTTGTTATTAGATGGTTGAGCCCTTTCCATGGTTCACTAACATGGACAGCATGTTTTAAGTGTTGCTGTAAGTGCTCTGATATCTCCACCATGGAGGAAGCTCCCAGTGTCCCCAAAGCCACCTTCACCAGGAGAGCCAGAGAATCCCCATGGTCCTCAGAGAAATAGGAAGAATTTCTCCTCCCTGCCACTGTCACGTTTTGCCACCCGTGTGCCTCAGCAGTGATGTTGAAGTCCAGTGACTCCCAGAGCCCCTTCACCTTCTGCTCCAGACACCTTTCATGGTGAGCAGATCTGGGAGGCCATCATGCTGTCCTCTCTACTCTTGCTGGGTCTGTCCATTAGACACTTCCCAGCATGACCCCTTTCCTCAGCCCATGTACCATGTTCCCCATGCCCAGTGCAAATCTTCTAACCAAGTAGAGACTTACAGGCTGTCCACCTCATCACTTTATTAGCTATGTCCACACTTAGTATAAACCCCTTAACTCGACTGGGAAGTCTGCTCTATGCATTTTGGGAATTTCTTTCAGATCAGTGCCTAAACATGGGGCTAATGCCACCCTATGTGCAGTAACAGAAGTCTAATGTACCTATTAAGGTATATACTAGACCCGCTGTGATTGTCAGTGGGTCAGGTCACACCTGCAGCTCTGTGTTCAGCTCTCTGCATAATAACAGGATATTATGTAGGACTTTTTCTGTTGCCCCAGAACTGGTAACTATGGCCTGAGGCTGAGGGCAAAGAGGTGTTAAGTACCCTGCAGTTCTTCAAAAAACCACTGACACCTGGGATCATACACCTCCTCCAGGGTTTACTAAGACTGACGGAATCAGCCCTGTGCCCCCAGTCACCATGACAACCCCTCTCAACCCCTCTGTATAAGGAAACAAGTTTGGGCAGGAAGAGGTTGTAGAAGTGGGTGGGAAGGAGGATGGGTTTCTTCTCCCCGAAGCCAAAGGAGGGGCCTCTGAAAGAATCATGTGAGGAATGGGGGCTTGCAAAAAGGGGGACCAGCACCTCATTCTTGGGTGGGGGATCCACTGGGCAGCAAACCAGCTGAACTAAGAGGAGATTGGAGACAGGTGATGGTGGAGACACAGGTCGTGGCAGTGAGGCAGCAAGGATGTCTCAAGGACGTCAAATTATAAGCATGGTGCTTTAGTAGTGGCATCTGGAGAAATTTCCAACCTCAGTCACTGACCACATCCAGGGCCAGCCCTCCACTAAATTCATGGGCTGCTTTATGGAGGTCAGCTCACCAGCCCAGATGCCTCTTCTCTCATGGTGAGTTTCCTCTGGGTGACCCTTGGTGGCCTTTGCTGCTGGCTAATCTCACCTGAGGCCATTTCAATTTGTCAGGGAAATTTTAATCATGAGGAAAACAGAAGTGGAAAGATGGAGTCTTGATGGCTCACTCCCAGGAGGCTGCGGGGCCTCTCTGAAAAATGCTCAAACTGCCCCAGCTGCCACAGATTAAGGAGGATGGTATGGGGTGGACAAACCCCCAGCTCCACTGAAAATCTTAAGATATCTATGCCCTGGAATGATCATCTTTCCTTACATCTGCTTAACTCAAACAGCCCACTTAAAAGTTCTCCTTGGAATAAAGGATACTTGAGGTTTCCTCTTCTAGAAATGGAGATAGTTGTCGACTTTTAAGTGGCAGTTACTTTGGTGACAATAAAATCTCACTGTAGCCGTTATTACTGTGATGCAGGACTTTCCTTCGGTTCCGTGGGGCGCTCAAGAAATTTCACATACACCTCTATTTCTGTGCTCTGAACAGTCCAATGTGATTATTAATAGTCCCTTCTCTCCCACTCCTCCCCTTTAGCAGTCCCTGGACTTGGAGATCCAAGGGCACAGGGATTAACATATCCTTCCTTGTGTACCCACCCCAGTCTGACACACAGTAGATCCTTAGAAGTGTTTGTCACATTGAATTCCATGATGGAAAAACAAATGGACACGTTTCCAAATTTTATTTATGAAGTCACTATATGCCGCATGTATTCGTTAACTTTTTTGCTTCTTAGCAAACAAGCCCCACAGCCCAGTGGCTTAAAATAGCAAATGTGGACCTCTTGCTCCTGTGACTTGTGTCTGCTGTGTGGCTGGGGCCCTGACTCTGTTCTTTGTGTCTTCTCGCTTACTCACTGGGGCATCTGGCCCGAAGGGGTTGTGGTCTGGGATGGGTCTTCCTGTGGCTGAGCAGGAGAGCCAGAGGCTCCACCCAACAACTTTAACACTCTGCTTGGATGAAGCAGATGTCAGTTCTGCTCACTTTCTATTGACTGAGCCACCTGTGGATGGGGTGAGGGTGTCCCTCCTGTAGGGCACAGTGCAAGTCACATGGCAAAAGCATGTGTAATCACACCAGGCAAGGAGTGAAAAGTTGGGAACAGTAAGACAGTCTGTCACACCACACCACAGCATAGCAAAACAAGCAGTTCCAAAAAAAGTTTTTTATTGTAGTAAGAATACAACATTAAAAAATCTTTTAACAGATTTTTAAGGGTACAGTACAGTATTGTTATCTATAGGCACATAGTTGTAAATCAGATAACTTAGAACTTATCTTGTATAACTGAAATTCTATGCATGTGGATAAATGGATAAAGAAAATGTGGTCTATACAGACAAGGAATATTACTTAGCCTTAAAAAAGAGGGGGAATCCTGCAATATGCAATGCAACAACATGGATGGACCCAGAGAACATTATGCTAAGTGAAATAAGCCAGACACAGAAGGACACATACTGCATGATTCTGTTTCCAATAGGAATCTAAAATCATCAGCCTCATAGATGGAAAAGATAGAGTGGTGGTTGTCAGAGTTTGAGGGAAGGAGGACATGGCAGTTGCTAATCAGACGGTTTTTTTTTTAACAACATAGTTAGAGCATTGATTCGTTTTGCAAGTCATAGTTTTTTAAAACAACATTTTGTCATCATCAAAACAAAATCAAATGCATTCATTAGGATAAAACAAGTATCTGCAGGTTAAGCAATACCCTGCAACACACACACTTCTTTCTGAAACCTTCTCTAGCCATGAGACAAGAAAGTGAAACTATAGTAACTTCCAGCTCCGCAGGTTCCAGGTTCCAGGCTCCAGGTTTCAGGAGCCCTGTGTTTCTTGCTAGCATCAGATCAGAAATGCACTAACATGTATGTACATTCTTAACTTGGCTCAGCCAAGAGGGAAGTCTTTGCTTACTTAAGTGAGATTCTCCAACTCCCCTCCTTTAGAAATAGAATTTAAAAGCTTTGATTAGGAGTCAGCTTGAATTAGGAGTTCCCGCTGGCCAAACAGGGGACAGACAGTCTGAGGATTAATAGGACACTGGCAAAGCACTGAAGCAGTCGAATATGATTCCATCCATGACTTCCTAGTCTTCATAATGATGCACAAAAGATTTTTGGTAGCAAGTCAGAGAGAATAAAGACACAGTTGAGATGACAGTTGTTGAGTGGGTGCATGCTGTGATCCAGCTGATACTATTTAGATGCTGCCTCACCATGAGCTAGTAAACCTGTGGATCACAGACCTCCAACTCCGTGATCAACATTTATGTTGAACCAGCAGTCTCCCAAACATACCAGGTGCTCCAAGATTTTAAGCTCAACACCAGAATTATCTCTATGACTAATACAGTATTTTTAGATTTGGCATAACAGTAACTCTTAAAATGATACTTTACCACAACTGTAAGTCACAGTTTTCAGCTTTAATTTAATTTTTACCTGACTTAAAAAAAAGTTGTGTATATATATATATATATATATATATATATATATATATATATATGAACTTTTTGTCTATATCCATTTGGAAAACATTTTTTTCCAACCTATCTAGGGTCTTCCTCATCCTTGCCTACCCTCCCTGGTAATAGACCCTGAGGTCTCAGGCCAATGTTTGATTTCCAAGATGGGCCCCTTCTCTCCTCTGAGCACATACCTGAGTGTCCCGACCAATTATTTTCCCTCTCCCGGGCCCAACAGGGGGTTCTTGTTGCACAATTTCCTTCACATTTTCCTGACAGCTACTCTCCCGGAGCACCACAAACTGGCTTTTGGGATAAGGCAGCCCTACAGGCAGAGTTATATGATAAAGGCTGTAGGGGGACAGGCGGGCATGGGCAGCAGGAAGGCAGGGGAAAGCCAGAAGGAAATGAACAGTGTCAGATCCAGAGACACAAGGCCTTTCGGGGGTTCTGCTGCATCCTTCCTGGCTTCTGCTCTTAGCCAGCCCTGGAAACATTCCTGTACATTCTCCCGTGAGCTTACCTGTTCACTTTGGATGGAGGAACTTGTTGGTGCCCACCCCTTTCTCATCATCACTACCTCCAATCCTTTGCCTGGAAAGACCAAATGAGGGCTTTTATTTCTTCATCTCATTATAGATTATGCCTATTTTATAAACAGGCATTTTAATAAATGTTTGTATATGTGGATGCTGCCTAAGGAGTTTGTGAACAATGAGGCATGATACTTAATAGATTTCAAATGTAGGGTGTGTGGTTGTCATAGCTAAACTGTAATAAAGCAAAAATGTGTCATGCACTTAACAGAAGGGGAACATGGACCCAACTCAGGCTCCCAAAAAGTTCTTACAGTTCCCACGCTCTCCATGACCTGGTTGGGGGGAGGGCTTCGAAGTTAAATATGGTAGGAGATGGTGCGAAGGGCCAGTACTGCTACCTGGCTGGGCAAGCAAACCCCTTACCTTCATCCTCGTCCAGGCTCAGTCATGCTCATACTTCCTGCTCTGTCCTCTTGGTCCTGACCCCACTCACCCTCTTTCCCTTCACCCATGCATGTCTCATTCTCTTCCCTACCTCCCACTGATTGATTAAATAGATTGACAGAATCAGAGTGAGCAAGAAATGGTGCAGATGGGGAAAAGGGAATAAACACAAGGCGATGTGGCATTTTCCAGAAACTGCAATGAGCTTGTTGGAGAGTCCAAGTCTGTGCCCACAGTTGTTCTGGAATATTCCCCGAGCGCATGTTGGCTCTACAAGGAGTGACATAAGAATGTGTTGGTTCACACAACCCTGAGGTTCCTGGGAATTTGCTTTAGAGATTTCAAGTCCTTTATTCAACAAACCCTTGAGGCTTACTATCGTATAGAGATTGTTATCTCCCTTTAAAAATAACAAGCAAACTGGTACCGCTCTACAAAGCAGCAGAGACTTCCTGCTCCCCAGTGGAAGGGGTGTATGTTGAACTCACTCGATCTCCTGTCTCTCCATAGAAAACTGGGCATTGTTTGCAGAGGTGTTTGGCAATGTGCTTTCGGAAAAACACGGAGAGATATCTTCTGAACTTCTCCCCGACGAAGGCGTAGATGATGGGGTTGATGCAGCAGTGCGTCAGCCCCAGGGTCTCAGTCACCTGCATGGCTTGGTCTAGCTGACTGATGTTCTTACAGTTACTCAGGCCAAAGAATTCCTGGAAGGTGCTCAGGAGGAGGACGATGTTGTAGGGAGCCCAGAAGAGAAAGTAGACGATCATGATCACGAAGATAAGCCTCACGGCCTTGTGCTTCTTCTTCTCATTTCGACACCGAAGCAGGGTTTTCAGGATTCCTGAGTAACAGATGATCATGACAATCAGTGGCAGGACGAGGCCCAAGATACTCCTCATTACTGTATGGAAATTCTTCCATCCTAGTGGAAAATAAGGGGCACAGGCGTAACCAGAATGTTCTTTTTGGGATTTGATAAAGATGATTCCAGGGAGAGAGATGAACACAGCCATCACCCAGGTAACCCCACTTGTCACCACCCCAAACGTGACCGTCCTGGCTTTTAAAGCAAACACAGCATGGACTATAGCCAGGTACCTATCAATTGTCAAGAGAATGATGAAGAAGATTCCACCAAAATAACCAATGTGATACAGCCCTGTGAAAAATTTACACATCGCATTCCCAAAGACCCACTGGTCAGCAGCATAGTGAGCCCAGAATGGGATGGTGAGGAGGAAAATCAGGTCAGAGACGGCCAGGTTGAGCAGGTAGATGTCAGTCATGCTCTTCAGCTTTTTGCAGTTTATCAGGATGAGGACGACCAGCAAGTTGCCCACAAAACCAAAGATGAACACCAGCGAGTAGAGTGGGGGCAGGAGCTGGGCTTCGATTTGTCCCACGTTGGTTTTTTGGCAGGGCTCACTGTAATCATAGTCATAACTGGTGGTGGATTCTTCACTGTTCCCCTTGATGTTCATTGCAAACAGAGAATAAGATGTGGACAGCACACTGTGGCTGAACTGGGGAAATGTGTTGTTGCCATCCATCTTCCTCTGTGCTGTAAACAGAACAGAACCGTGACACACAACACAACGGCTGCAATCTCCAATCTTAACAAGGTCCCTGCTCCACTTAAGCAACATCCCAGGCTTTGTCTTTGCTTCGCAGCCATCTCCTTGAAGGCATGTGTGCTAGTTCATCACTTCCCCTTACTTTTGATCGCAGACGCCAGTCATCTCCCCACAGCTATTGCCCAACACCCTTGGCCTTCCCAGAGAACCTGACTCTCATTATAAGGCTAACCATGCTGAACACTTGTTTTCTGTACCTCCTCTGTAGTGGAACAAGGCCTGTGACCCATTCCTGGATGATAACATATAAGGGGACTCTGCTCAGGGGCTGCTGGGAATGTTCATAATAAACCAGTATGAGTTTCATTTTCTGTTACTTGCCACCCAAAGTGTTCTAACTGGTACCCCTTTCAACTTTCTGCCTCCGTCATCCTGCCAGAACTTCTCTTGGCAAGGGTGCAGTGACAACCCAATTTTTAAATGCCCTGGCTTGGTTTTAGTTTCATCCTCATCGAGCATTTGATTTTTCTGCCGACTTCTTCCATTTTTAATACTTTTTTGGCTTCTGGGCAGTTAAGCTTCTGTCTCACCACTTTAAAAAATTTTCTTTGTTGGTGTCTCCTCCCCCTGTCCACACTGTAAAAATCCCCAGGCACCATCCTTGGCTCCTACTTCTTTACCTTTTACCTCTTTACCCTTGCTCCAAAGTTCTTCCTGAATTCTGTTGTCTAATCTCAAGGTTCTAAGTTTCCTGTAGTCTAGTGCTTCCCAAAGCTCTGCTTTCCAATTCCACCTCAGGATTGAATTTTCCATTTCCTACTGCATGTCTTCCTGTGGATATTTTCATTTAACCAATATTTATTGAGCACCTACTATGAGTCATACTCTCTTTTAGGCACTGGAGATACTGCAGAGAGCAAAGTTGGTATCATACAGGTACTACCTTGAATTCAGTCCACCCCAAACTGAACATCCCTGGAAAGTTGCTTCAACTTGTGGATTCCCTGTCTTGGCTCTTGTCGTTTACTCCATTACCTAAGAAGCAGGGTTTGGCATTATCTTGGGTCTCCTCCTCTTCGGAAGATTAAGAGCCAGGCCTTTGGAGCCGAACAGACCTAGATTTGAATCCTACCTCCAACCTACAAGTTATATAATTTGGGGCTAATTACTTCTTCTACTATTAATTTTTTTATGTATACAACAGTAACTATGCTGAGTTGCTGTGGAAACAAAGACTCAGTGCAACATCCAGTACAGAGAAATGCTCTGCATTATTATTACTGTGTTGTATGAATTCTGCCTCATAAACACCTCTCAGAGTCATCCCCTCTGCACTTTCAACTGCCACTTTCTTGGCCTTCTGTGCTTTTCATTTCTGGCTTTGATAGGTTCTTTCATTTGCTCATGCCTTCTTCCTAGTCATGCTCTCTTTCAGTCTGTCTCCTCTGAAGCTGAAATTGGATCATGCACTTCTCAGTTTAAAACTGGAGTAGCCCCGTGATATGTATG